CTGTAAATATAGTGTTCTTTTCACAGACACCAACAGTCAAAAGTCTGGACACACTTTCCCATTCGATGCAATGGGAAAGTGTGTCCAAGCGCAGACAGAGAATTTTGTTGTAATAATTCTGACACAACTGTTTCTTCTGCAGAGATCGAGATGCTGGTGGATGACCCCAAAGACTATGAGGAGATACATGAGATGGCTCTGGACCAGGAGTTGTGTATCCACATCACTGAGGACATGCTGACTATGTCACCCGACCAGACCAATGGATACTCAGGTACAGGTGCTTTCAATTCAAGCTTTTATTTGCAACTAAAAGAACAAGAGTCAAAGCTAAAGTGCACAAACAGTAGTCTTAACAAACAGCCAAAAAGAAGCATCAAGGAAAGTAAACTTGATCTGTAAAATAATCTGTATAGTTGTAAAGATATTGGCTCTAAATTTGTGTAACTGTTGTCACCAGGCTAGTCAGCACTGAACTGTAACTACACATACTGCATTTGTGACATTTACATGTATTCTTCCCAGGACTGATAGTGAAAGACATTAGCTCCTCCACTTCCAGCTCCTCTGAGACTGTCGTCAAGATGAGAGGACAGAGCATTGAGTCTCTGCCACAGGTAATTTAGTGTCCCAGCACTGTTTGCACTGCTGTTGAAAGGCCAGATACACAAAATAACGTCTACACTATTATACCAAAATACTTTTATGGAGAAGAACAACCCAACATCACATGTACTGACACTCAAAAAACTTTTAAATCGATGTTTTCTGTTTTGGTTTTTATTTTTCAACCTACTGTTACACGAGGACATAACTTTACACCCACTGTATAGTTACAGCTCTTTTTGTCAGCTGGTAAAGTTTTGGTGTGACATCAATGACTAAGCAGTTCTTACTTTTGTTTATTTCTGTTTATATAGTAATGTTTCACAATCATAATGAGAGAAATGAATAATAGAAGAGGCAGAGAAACAAGATTCTCCAGCAACAGCTGCCTTTCAGTGGACCAGGAAGCTCTACAGCTTTGGCTACATCTTTGTAAATCTGTCATTCGTGGTGTATAAGATGCTGCACCCTCTTTAGCAGCTCATCTGTATTGTTAATAGCTAATCATGGTGATATTTCTTTGTTATCTTAGTTTTTCTCAACTGAACCCTCCAGCAAAAACTCACACATCACCAGTGCTTTGCAGGCAAAAAAGACCAGTTTTGGAGTCACAGGCTAAAGCAAAGATAAAGTCCAGAGTAAAAGTAAATCACAGCATTTGATTGTAAAGTAGCTCAGTGTAAGAGCTTCTGTTGACCAGCTTTCCCTTCATAACTCAGAATTTTTCAAGCTTTTGCAATAAAGTTTGATTTGTCACTTTGCACCTCCAGACATCTGCATGCAGGAAGCCTCAGTCATCGACTGACCGGCACAGCCAGTCACTGGACGACATCCGGCTCTACCAGAAGGATTGCCTGCAGTGGGCGGAGCTCTGCCAGGACACCGCCCACAGCTACACGTTTGGCTGCACTCAGGAGCTGAGTGACGCTGGCTGCTACCAGGGCCTGGCTGATCAGCGAGCCGGCATGCTTGGTGAGCAGCACCCCTTCCCCATCAAGAGAACCAACAAGTACTTCTCTCTGGACTTGACCAGCGACGAGGTCCCAGAGTTTGTGGTGTGAAGGAGGCAGAAACAAGGCGACCTCAGGGTGACCTCTTCACACCTCCTTGTCAGATGAGGAGATGTTTCAGCCCTCAGGGAATGAGACAAGAGAGGAGTACTAGAGGTGTGGTTTCTGTTCTTGCAACAAGCAGAAGGGATGAGGAAACTGGCAACAAGATTGCTGTCCCTTCAGTTACCACTCAAAATGTAGAAGGCATGATAAGTGAACAGACAAGGAGGATTGTGGCTGAAATGGGATTTTTAAGGATGAACACTGGGCTCCAGAGAACAAAAGAGAGTGTGCCATCTTCTATGAAAAAAAAAATTTATACAAATGACTCCTCCAAACTAATTTCAAGATCCACACATAGTGTTTGCCTGCTTTAATGAGTCATAAAAACACAGTGTGCGTGCACGAAGGCACACACCATACAGACTCATACACAGACATGAGCACTATGTCAGAAATCTTCTGTGGAGGACACATAGGACAAAATCACTGAGCTACAAACCAAAGAAGAAATGGAAATAAACTGACATCTGTTTCTGCATCCACACTATTGTCACAGTGTGCAGCCATGATGAAAATGTGTCAAAGTCATGGTGAAAGGGAAGGTGGACCCATACTTCTTTGAGAGAGACCAGCCGTGGGTCCTCATTTTTCCTTTCTTCTATGCCACTTCATTTTACCTCAACAGGAAGTGCAGTGTGCCAACACCTCCTCTCAGACTGAACTTGTAATTCTGTGAACACACACTCAATGTGCCTTCATCACACTGTGCAGGTGTCCAACCCTTGCCTTGACAATCACACACCTTCACCTTAGTTATTTTAAAAGATCCAAGCCATCAGAATTCAAAGTTTTACTTTACATTTCATTTGCATACCCAGCTATTGTAGTTTATTAGCATCTTAAAGCTACAATATGTGACATTGAAAAATCAAGCTAGTGCTAGCATGAGACTCTAAAATCCTCTGCTCTGCTCTGCTCCTCGCTCCACCTGACCCATTGTGAACACCGAACCAGTCAAACACCTTCACCGTTTGGAGAGAAATTCAAAGTTAGTGGGCACATTCATCTGGCGGGCACTAAAATAATGCAAGTCACCGAGCTTACTGCCCTGCTTCGTGTTGACTGTAGACACAGCACGACTGTATGGCAACTTCACTACAGGACAGGACAACATGACACATTTTCAGCCAGCACAGTTTGTGAACATTGGCAGAGAATGAACAAGTGCATCCTGAAAAAGGCATGTCACAAAAACACTTTGTCACTCCATCACATACAGGACACATGTTTGAAAACACATCTGAAACTGAATAAAACACACTGTTGAGTGTATAGCTACATCACTGTAATAACTGAAGGGAGTAGCACATAACTGAGCTCCCACCCCCGACTGTGGCCTTCTCTGATTGGTTAGAGAACAGTTCTGGTCAAAGCCCTTTAGAAGGGAATATCTCTGCATTGCTGCCTGGCTGTTTGATGACTCACTGATAGTCCCTCTCCACAATAAGATCAGTTTTGGGGGATGTTTTCACTAGAAGAAATACTTGAAAAATGTTACATACTGCAGCTTTAAATAACAAAAGATTCTGAAGTGAAACTGTTTCATGTCCTGTGAAATCCGACCATGTTTCCTGGGTGGAATGAGGTAGAGTAAGTTCCTACGTGTCCTGACTCGCATGAAGCTTGTGGCCACAAGACCATCTCTTTAATCTAGACACAAAATGGAGCCTGGGTTGGCTGCCACCCAAAACAAACCATACATTTAGATGCTTAAGTATGTCTTCCTTTGATTCTTCTTTTTCTTCTCTCATCTTAAACTGGAATTTATTTCATTGTTTATTTGTCATCCTCTCATTTCACCTGAAATCTCTTCATGTTGTCTTTTGGAATGAATTGTTTAGACTTATATATGTTGAGCAGTTATTCTGTACGTAGTTGTATTACCATCAGCATTCAGTATTACCATCAAAATGTATGTGACAGTATTAAGGACGTGTGATGTTTGCGGCTCTGAACAAGAAAGACTGGTTTTACCGTTTTTATCTCACAGTTAGATTCATGAGACCTGACACCTGTGCTGGCTGACAGGATGTATTACAAGCTGTTATTACTCCTAAATCACACCTCAGATTTCAGTAGACTACAACAGTGTGAATGACGACAGGAGGTTGTTGCAGATTAAAACAACAAACAGTGTTTTTACTTATAAATCACCTGCAGTTCAAACTGAAAGTGCCACAGTCAAGACTTTAAAATTTAGTTTTTTTTCCATTCAAATCAATGATGTTATTGTTGTTTGTTTTAGATGCAACCAGAATATTTGAACTACTCTTGTGAAGAGGTTTTTTTAAAACATTATTATACTCCTGTTTGAATGAGGTGGAAAACCCTGCACCATACAGTAACCTTTACCATAACTGTTGAACAGCATCTTGGTTTAAAAATGAACTTTGGACTTCTACAAAACAGCTTTCCAAGTTGTTGAAATGATTTTTTAAATTATAAAAAAAGACTGGCTTCTGCTAATATATGATATTAAAGGGAAATGTGCGTATTTACTTTCTTGGAAGACAGGATTCATACTTTTGCATCAGTAAACAAAATATGAAGCTATAGCCAGCAGCCAATTAGCTTAGCTTAGCATAAAGACTCAAAACAGGAAAATAGTTAAAGAAAATCCATCTCCCACACCACTAGAAGTCACTAATTACCACATTATATCTCATTAGATTAATCTGTACAAAACCAAGGTGGAAAAAATGAGAATTGGATGTTTCACAGTTACAGTATGTGCTGGAGTCAGAATCATGTCTTTGGAAGTGACTTCTCCCAGCCACGAAATAGTTGGACTCACAACCTGTGTAGAAACACTGTCAATTTTACACTTAGGTTTTTGTACAGATAAACAAGATATAATGTGTTGATTATTGAGCTTCAGAGGTGTTAGCATTTTGTTACTTTTAGACAGAGCCAAGATAGCTGTTTCCACCTGTTTTCAGTCTTTATGCCAAGCTAAGCTACCCAGCTGCAGGCTGGAATTATATGATTACCATGAGAGTTGATTTAGTCTTCTCAGGAAAGTGATTAGGTGCATTTTTCCAAAATGCCAGACTTGTTTAAAGGTTCATTGGTATATGCCATCCACAGATGGGATTATTTTAAAATATAATAAAATATACTAAAATTTTAAAATGTCAGTGTGTGAGACATAAGTCAAAACCTCACCTGTGTTGATCAACTTGTTAACTAGCTGATTCAAACATCATGATGTGTAATTTTGTCACTTTCCAATAGTATACAAAACTTAATTATATTCACATGAGTTTTTTTGTGCATGAGTCATCCTAGTTCAGTGTTACAGACCCAGCTTGGCAATAAAGCATCTGAACAAGGTTTTGTGGACAAATATTTGATACTGATAAGTAATAAAATGATATTTCATAAAGTTTTCTTTCACAGTTTTAAGCTTTGAGTTATTTCTACTTATTATTGGAAGATGTTTACAGGTGTATTTTGATGGTTAATGTTTCTTATATTAAAACAGGATGTGTCAAGGTACATAGCTATACAGTCATAACCCATGTCCTGAAAGTCTTCATAATTTGTTCAAAATCCAGTCTCTGACTTCTCCATATGGTCATACTTACACTTTTTTTCGAGTCTGTATTTCTGTGTCCATAATCCTTTCTGTGAAAGGATCTCCCTTCAGGAAAAATGAAAGATTTTTTTTAAAATTCTTATTTTATTTTTTTGTCACCCTGTAGTTAAACAAATGATTTGTTATTATGAAGTCTGGTCTGTGCCTTCTTGGTACTAATGCTCTCAATATCCAATAAAAAGGTACATTAATCTACAAAAATTCTATTGTTTGTGGTGATTTCAGAATGCAAGTGCAGTTTGCTTTTTAAATTTACAAAAAGGCAGTAAACAATAGAGTACATGGAGAGAAAGCATTTTTTTAAAAAGACTGATTTTCCATTCAGTTTATTTCTGACTCCACCCAGCCTTACAGTAAATCTAACCAGGAAACCTTTTTTTTTCTCCAATAACAACAATTAAGATCATACTGCATTTTGTACACAAACATTGCAAACGACCATTACAATATATTGAACATGGTTATCAGGCTGTTTGCATTGTGTCACATGGCCAAAGTGTTTTATTAGTTTGTGCTGCCCTCTGGTGTAACATGTACTTTCATGTGAATATCATTTTAACCTGAAGGTGGCATTATTGTCTGATACATGACAGGAACAGTTCTTGTCCTCTGCTCAGTGTGCCTGTGTCAATTCTAAATGTAATGCATCAGCTCAACACACATCATTTTATTGTGTCAAAAAGTAGAATATTGCTAAACTCGATGTATTTCAAGCTCAGAAAAACCTATTTGAGCTTTTATTTACTCCAGTCCAGTTCTTTTGTAGTAGTAAGTTCTTTTGTCACCTTCCTTAAGGTTTGGACCAGCCTCGATTTCTTTATATTAAGAGACATTAAGAAACAGTGAAACTCGTGCTTCGGCTTCAATAAAATGTTTGTCTTTTTAGAAATATATAAGTGTTAGTAGTGAAATTAACTCCTCATCTAGGGCTGATTCAGCATATTTACAGAGTCGTTTAAAACCAAAGAAGAAGAAAAAGAAAAAGAAACATTTAGAGGCAACATGCCATCTGAGAATCAATTAAATTAATTTTAAACATTTTGACCAGTAAGACAGTTAATGTGAGAGAAAAGCTAGTAAGTGAGCAACAACAAAAATATTATGCCATAAATTGTAGAATTTTACATTAACAATTGTCACTGTCAACCAAACAGTTACACAAAGCGGTCATCTAAAATGTCAGTCATTAATGTTGAAAGCTACAGCTAAAGCGAAAGTTAAATATTGATTTTGCGCCTGGGGTTTTCATTAGTTGAGTGTCTGTTTTGTTGAGCCAACGTTTTCGTAATCCCGTCATTTCTTGACAGTTGACTAAATCAAATAATGATGGTTAAAAGGGAAAAAAATTGGAAAACTACTGCTACAGCTAACTGGCTTAGCTAGGTAGCACCGTCGATATGCTGTTTATAAGACGTAGCCTAGACACTGCGTCATTGCTAATGCCGCCATATTGCATTGGGTGTTCATGGCCTGTTGGGTTCAGTTCATATAGTAGAAAATGCCAGGCTTTTGTGCTGCTTTTGAATTTTCTAATGAAAAAGTACCTAAGCAACAGGAAATAAGAGTTACCAGGTGAGAAGTTATTTTACTATCACAAGCATGTTAAATTTATCACAGTAGGCTACAATTGTCTGTAGTTACCTTAAGTGACTGTGGATAAGTTACTAATGTTAGGTAATTTCTAGTCAGATAGATATTTGTTAGAGATGTGTTGTATTATCAATGTTAGTGTAGCCAGGATGTCTAGCTCAGGCTGTTAAATGTTTAGTCATTGTCATGAGCTTTGCAGGCTGCATTTGGGCCAAGGTCAATTAAGACAAAGGCTGCAGGCAGGAGGTGATTGTTATTATTAACTGTAATGGTAATCATAATATTTTCTTATGTGTAATGTCAGGTCAAAATGTTCTTAGATACACACCACTAAATCAACAGCCACACACCTTGACTTTCTTCATGTTTTGACTATTGTTATGGTCAGCTGCAAGCTGGCATCAGGTGACGCCACGGTTTGACCTTGCCTGTGTAGTATGGGGCTAGCCCAACCAAGTGATTATATTGTATAGCCATTTTTAAGTTTGGGGTCTTTCATCTTCCAGGCTGCCTGCGCGCAGGTTTTGGGGGTGGAAGAGATCTGGACGTGTAATGTTAATTTTACCTGTGATCCTTTGAATAAACCAGCACGGTTATTTTTTATATAATCCAAGTGGTCTACTTCGTTTTTGTGAGTTCCTGGTTTGAAAGAGCCGGAAGAGGCTAAAACAAATAGAGCCTTTACTAGGTTGAGCTAACTATGAGGTAAAGAAAAAATGATTAATTCATATATATCAGAAATTGTAAATTATACTCAGGCTTGTTGCTTCATGAGGTATTGTCTACTAATTATTGTCTACTCAGTGTTTAAGAAAGGATGTGGAGATGTACAGTGAGCTGTACAACTATAAGCTAGAAATCTTTTTGGCTTAAAGATGCAGTAATGAAGATTTTACACACTGACTGATAATTCGAGTGAAAACAGGACAGGACTTGGTGTCTCTCAACTATATTACACCCCTCCATGACACTCTGCTACCCACAGTTCACTTTGGCTTTTTTAAACAGGGAGTGTTGAAAGCAGCCAAAGGACTCAGATTTGATAAAGATGTGTTCTCCTCCTTTTGGATGTGTTAGCATCTAAAGCTAATCTGTTTGCTTTGGTAACATTCGCGACCATGAGGTCATGATTTTACCTTTGTGCCACATTAGCAGTACCCAGGGTGTTCTACTGGATTGCTAACACTATCTTTGGACTGGATGCTACATTTTGTTGCAACCAGCAATCTGTAGTTTACTAGGAAACAGAACATGATGGGAGGGGCAAAGGGCGATTAGGTGCACCTTATGTTGTCAGCTTGTTTTGAGTCTCACTAGACCCTCTAGACTGAAAAGAATTAGATGGAGTAGCTAAAAATAATGCAGCATGTAAAGAGTGGAAATATTTAACATCAAGCCAGGAAATACTAAAGACTTCAAAAAGACTGATGCACAATTTAAGAGAAACCATGAATGCTTTCCTCCATGAGCTCCACCTCCGTGCTCGGACACAGATATCGTCTTTATCCCTCTCTCTCCTCAGCTGTACAGGAAATCAGTCATCCACCATCCACTTCTGTCACCATGGCAACATGAGGGGGGATCCATTCTTCTCTCTCTGTTTCACCACCCCTCCTCCTCCTCCTTTCTTTTGTTGTGTTGAATTAGGGGTAGCTTTGGTCCGACCATTTTCACAGGTTGTTTTTGCTTTTAAAACAAGTGAGGTCATCTTGTTCTGACCCTTTTAATGCCTTCAATAGTTAAATCATGAAAAAAGACTGAAATTGTGATTTGAATTGCTCAGTTGAGGCCTGTTTTTCTTCTTCATCTTCCTCATCTTATATTCTTCTTTCTAGAATCTTCTTCCAGTTGCATCCCTCCATACATCTCCATCTGTGAGCATGTGTGTGCACGTGAGTAATGATTTCAGCTGATTGTTTGATAGCTTTAGGTGGCACTGTCAGTGGTGACCTCTCTGTAAGTCCCATGGGGCATTGGGGCAGGACAGGCGGGGCAGCTCAGCTTGGCTCAGGCCAACAGCTGCCTGGAGGAGCCAGATGGTCCCAAATCAGAAGTGATAACCCCATCCCTTGTCCACACATACTAAACACTGCTTATACAGGAGCATTTGAGCATCCTTCATCCTCTTACTCTTCACTGAAAATGACAACATTGTTGTGTGAAAACCTCATTAAACATGCTGGTCTCAGCTGCAGGTTTACACTTGTAAGTATTAGAAAATTTTACAATCCTCAAGGCTCATAAACTGAAAAGGTAGTCAAATTGAGTCCAAAGCAGTACCATTTTCTAAAAAGCTGGCAGTATTTCTGTCACACCCAGTACAAAACCTGCATTATTTACTGCAGCAGAAAATTGAATTAATTAAATTGGCAATTGTTGGCAATTTTAGTCGGGCATATATAACCTCCAATTTACGTTCATTTAAACTCAGCATGTTCTGGAAGCTCTATGTATTGGTGTAATGCCAACTAATTATTATGGCTGCATAAAGTTTTAAGACATTGCCATTTATGTAAAAAGTAAAACTTTTGGGGATTTGTAATGTAACAGAATTTGGTGAAACTTGGATAAAAACCTGGAGGAGGAATGGTGATACAACAGTCTATGGCCATTTTGTAGTTTGTCACAACCAAACATCCGTAGTTTACATCATCACTAGGAAACAGGACGTGATGGGAGGGGAAAAGAGTGATTAGTGGCGGCTTATGGTGTGGGTTTGTTTTGAGTCTCACTAGACCCTCCAGTGGCTGAAAAGACTAGCTTTAATATGACGTGCCTTCTCAGATACACGCCAGCTGCAGGCATGCATTGTGTACTTTATCTTAATCCTGTACATGCAGAAAACTTTAACAGAAGTGAAAGAGCAACATGTGCGGTCTGCTGGTTATGTGTGTTGGTGTTTAGTTGCTGGAAAACTTTCTTTTTGGTTTTAATCTTTGATGCCTTCATCGTAATATACAAGTGGTCTAAAGATTAAAAGCTTCAACTCTGGCAGGACTAATGTTGCTTGTGTGCGTAATAGGATGGTGTTGTTGAGGGTTGAATGAATTTTTCTCATGCAGTGTCTGGTGTCTCATGAGCCATTTTCACATATAAACTCTAAACTATGTCCGTGAAATCAGGCCTGGACTTTGTTGAGAGTTGACCTTTCACATATGTATATAGCACAAAATAGGAGGTAGCGTGTGTCAGATGTAGTCTCGTTGTGTTGTGGGGGGGGGGGGGGGGGGGGGGGGTGTACCTGGGTAGAGTGTGCAAGATGCGGTCGTGTAGCCAGTTTGTAGTTTGGTCACAAAAAGCAGAGTCTCTTGCCTTACTTTAAATTTGACAGTTCTGGCGCCGGCTCTTGACGACAGAGGTTACTGAATCCTTTTGTTGGTGTCTTCATTGTAAATGACTTTTTCTTCATCCCGAGATGTTTGTATATTTCCGGTTTCCCACTGGTCACATGACAGAATGTCATCAACACAATTTCAGGGTTCCACTGCATGTCTGAAAAGGGCTATACAGAAATGTGAGTTAATAAAGAGGAAACTGAGCAGCTGAAATGTATGCAGGGACATGTATGAATATTTATCAGACCAAAATCCTGCTAGTCAAGACTGTAAGCTGTCTTGGTATATATTTGTTTACTCTAGGTGTTTAGAGAGACAGTCAAGGCTTTTTCTGTCGACCTCTGGGAGACAGTGTGTGTCCTGATAGCAGAAAAGAGATGACATAAAGGCTGAGGGAGGAGGAAGAGGAGGAGAAGGAGGAAGGTAGTTTCTTACAGCCTGAGCATTTGGCTGCAGGGTGGAGACTCAGGGCAGCAGTGAGGATCTCAGCTGAAGCAGAGAGAGAGAGAGGGAGAGGCATTCAGAGGGAGGAGTGTGTTGAGTGTGTGGATGTACTCGCCTGCTTTGCTCACTGACTGTGCGTGTTTGTGTGTGACAGAGTGATCAGGGGACGGGCGAACGCGTGGATACTACTCCACAGGACTGGATGCATTTGGCATCACGGAAGGAAAACGCACACACTAAAAAGGTAGGTTTCTTTTTTCATTTTGGGGGATGGAGCTAGGTATTATGTTTTTCTGTTTTTGTGGCATCTGGATTAATCACATCCATAACAGGGTGTGTTCCAGATTGAGGGGGGGTGTTCATATCCACGTTGTCGTTTTGTCAGCGCTCTAAGAACGAGATTGATGCTACTGGCTGTTTTACATGGAATCCCCTCCTCCCTCTAAAATATATTTTCCCTCTTACCTCCTTTCATACATACAATATGTGGATGTATATGTGAGGGGAATAAGAGAACTCTCTTCCTACCTCAGGATTGGGCAGATCTTATAATGTGAAGCCAGAGGAATAAGGGGCATCTGCTTCAGAGGATATTTGCACGAGTAGAAGGGATGAAAAAGAGACCAATGAAGGGGGCGAGTGGGGGGTTGTGGCAGACATAAAGGGATGTGAAAGACAGAAGCAGGAGAAAATCAGAGAGGAATCCCATCAGCCTGCCGTATGGTTTCCTGGTCATTTTCAACCCCCTCGCTTTCCTTCCATACCGTGAGGAGAAAGCAGTTGACCACACACAAGCTCCTGGTAGTAGTTGTATCAGACAGATGGCCGGGAGAGGAAGAGGAGGAGGTGGAGGGGGCTTGGTGTTTTTATGTTGCACATAGACAGATACAGTGGCTGACAGTAGCATGCATTCACAGGAAGACCGAAAAGCGGTCAGAGATGTATTTCCTCACACTTAGCTTGTTACACAAAGGCACCATCATGTACAAGTCTAATTAAAGCATCCAATCGTGTGTGTGGGGTTGTGTTGTGTTACATATTCAGGCCTGTTACAAACGCACAGAGCGTGTCAGAATTACGCAAGAGCTCACATCCAGGCAGCTTGTGCTGTGTCTCGAAGGCAAGCTGCTCCAAGGCTACGGATTGTTTCACACACATTGATGTTGAGACTAGAAGAGAGGTTCACAAAGTAATGATACACAAAAAAAAAACAGCAAAAGCCTTGAGAGTTTTCTGGAACACAATGGAAAGTGTTGAGTGTTACAGATAGAAAGCAGAGAGGGAGTAAGGGCAGTATGAGGGAAGAGAATAAAGAAAAATGTGCAGCCATCCACACCTCATTGACCATTTTGACCCCTCCACTCCCATTACAACGAAAAAATCCTTCCATTTCAGGCCAAAGTGTAAGGAATTCTCTGAGCACAGGGCTGGGCTTTCTAAAAACATCTTTCTTACTGAAGTCCTCTCCATGTGAATCTGGACCCTTTATGAAGTTTAAAGAAGAGTAACTTTAGGGGAAAGGTCATGTTTGGTAGGAAGGAGGCTGGTGCAGTGAACACATCGACCTTTGTACCCACTGCACCTGTTTGATTATAACAGTGTTGATTTTGTTATTTAAGCTTATTCATGCGTGGTCTCCTCTGCCTAGACAGACGGATACAGGGCTGTTCATAAGGCTTGTGAGAAAGCCCAAGTCAAAACTCTTCTCAACCAACCCAACCAAGTTTCAGTTCCTTGATAGAGAATCCAGGTCAAGTGACAGTTTTTCACTCTGCCAGGTCAAAACATGAGACTTGAGACATGACTTTTGCTTTCTACTCAATTCAAGACTCAAGCCACTTAAGTCTTAACAGCCCTGAAGTTCAAGTCAAATCTTAAGACCTAATTTTTGTCACTTTTGGTAGGATTTTAGTCTTGAATTCTCAGTGCCAGGTGACGCGCTGGTTTGAAACTGTCCAAGCTGGACACTCAAATTCAGCACAATCTAAACAAGCCCGGATGTTTGTAATATTGTTAACAGCCCAGGAGTCTGGCTGTGTTATTCCTGGCATGTTGATTGATTCCAGAGGAAAAGTATGTTTATACCTCCACACTCAGTTGCAAATGCAAAAGTTCCACTGATTCCTCTGAGTTAAATCACAGAGAAGCTGGTACATCATTTCTGTCGTACAGGGCAAGAAGTTCACCTGCCATTTCCAGGTAGAAAAGAAGCTCCATGTGAGGGCTGGACAAAGACAAAATTCACCAGCATTATTTGGCTGTTGGCTGGTGTTAATTTTCTTCCCTCATCACACAAAAACACATATGGTTTATGGATTGCTTCTAGAGCTCTGTAGCTGTTCCTGTGTTAGCAGTATGATGCATCGTTTCTAGCATTTACTAAATTGCTGTTACATAATAGACATCAAAGGTTTTAAATACACGTCTCTACACTTTAAAGAAAAAAACTGGTTACTGATTTAATCCAACAAAGAAGAAACATGCCGGGTCTTGATAGTTTGATTTAATAAACATAATAGACCACATTTGGGCTCCCTGGAGCAATAAGCCGCCTCCCCGCTGCCTCCTTGAATCCCAGGGGAGGCATCATTTCCGGGGCCACTACCTTCTCCCCTCCCCCCTTCTGGGACCTAGATTAACCCCAACACAAACACACTTATGTATGCATACAGACACGTACACCACACACTCTGAGATGCCAGGATGGTCAGGGTGTGCTGGGGGCGGCACATATGTCCAGGCTAATCTAATGACAACGGGTGGTGGTCTGACCAAGAGGCAGCAGTACGAGAAAGGAGACAGAAAGAGGACTAAGGTTAATGCACACTTTAATAAACAATACATCAATAATTAAATGTTCCATATCAAATGTCAAATCTATTTTGTGAAAATAAAACATTATCCACTGTTCATTTTTTAAATGTTACGAAATGCTAATGAATACCTGGGATGTAAATATATAAAATGTAAAAAACAAAAAAAGTTTAAAGTGGTTGAAAAAGCATTTAAAAAAAAATCACCTTCTTGCTATAAGCGGAACAGCCCTGCACAGAAACACCGTTATTTGCCAGAATGAAAGAAGCAAATTAATTTAGACGAGGATTGAGGGGTTTCTTCAAAACTGAAAATTTGAAATGGGCGAGGTTCTGTTGCAAAAACCACCCTAATAATTGGACGGAATTTCCATTTGGTTTTATTTCATTCATTCAGTTTGACATTTTGTTCATGTTGGCCTCTATTTGTGAAATATTCATCCCACCGACACATTTGGCACAGAAGCTGTAGTAGTGGTTGATAGGAGCAGTTAAAATGTTAATTAAAATGTGTCATTTCTGTAAGTTAACTTACAGCAACTCATACAGTCGGTGCTTCTTAGCATTTCTGTGGCCATTTTCTGGTCACATATTTTATAGATTTAAATGAAGTAGTGAGCTATATGGGAACATGATGTATCCATTCTTAGTTCCACAGACAAAATTATGATTGATAAAATCTTTCATCAACTGGCAAAAACCATCAAAATATACTGATACCATAACCTGCTCCTAACTGCCCTTTGCTTCTCCAAATCACATCCTGTTTTCTAGAAATGACGTCTGGTTGCAACAAGCTGTAGAGAATTCAGCCCCCAATCCAAAGCTAGCATTAGCTGGCTAATGAGTAAATGTATCAATCCAGCAGAACACCTCCATACTGCTAATGTGACATGAACATTACACAGAACTCGAAGTTATTCCCAATTGAAAATCATTTAAATTCAACACATTGGTAAAATCATGACCATGCTAGAGACCAGCACCAGGTCTGAGGCAGCTCAGAGCCTATTAACAAAAACCGTGATGGAGAAGGAGGCTCGGCAGTGTGGCCTGACAGCTCTGCTCTCTGTGTCCCATCTCTTTCTCTTTGTGTTTGTGTGTAGAGGGAGGGGGGTGTCCTTTTCTCCTATTCAAGGGCAAGGAGCCGTGCTATATTACATTCAGTAGTCGGTATCCTCTTGAATGTGTTCATTAATAACTCCAGAGGTCAGTTTTGTGTTACTTTTCCTTGCTGGAATCACTGTAAAAACCACTCTTGAAGAAGATATACTGACTTTTATCTTCCTGATAAACTCTCCTCTTTCCAGCTTTTCTCATTTTGTGTATCTTCTCCGATCAGCTTACCACTCTACATTTCTGCTTATCTGTGCCCTTCACTGTCCCTTACTTCATGGTGATATCGCAAAGTGTATATCATTGTTCTATGACATGCTGAGGATGGTGCAGTTATTTGCTGTAAGGGCTGTGATGGCTGAACTTTCCACATGCAATAATAGAAAACTGCCTTGCAGTTCTGAAAATCCTCAGTGGGGTTTTGGATTCATTCTGTGTTAAAAAAAATTTTTTAATGTAAAATACAAAAAGAAATGACTCACTTAACACAGAAAAGCACAGTTTCAGCTTGTAAAGTAATAAATTTGGGGCAAGGAGATTTTCTGTCTGGTAAACCAAGTAGCACTCCAGGTTTTACATGCATGCATCAGCCTGATTTAAAGAGTCAGTGCTAAGGCCAAGCTAATACAATTAGCTAACCACATTAGTTACTGGGATTACATTAAAAAGAATACCCATTCATGACTTCACACAGCCACTGTGAAATTTCTTTCCCGCCATGGATGCTGTCTCAGTTAGTGGCTCTGGCCTGCTCTTTATTGGATTTACACTGTAGTGACCCCAGCCAACATTATACCCAAGGTACAGTAGCATCACATTTGCCAAATACATTGAAGAGTCTGCATCCTCAAAACCTTTTTTTATGTAACGTTAAAAGTGAAACATACTGTTTGAAAAATACAAACAAGTGTACCTGCGAAATACCCAGACAGTGTGCTCGTACATTCATTGATGTCATATGTGTAATACTGATACTAACTAGCTCTACACTGCCATCAAGAGCAATGCTGTTTCTTTATCTCCTTACACGTGCGTCATCACCTGCAAGAATGATGCACGTGACACATAAATGTTATCTCAGTCTTTTTGTCACGTTTGGCGTGTACAGATGCCAAACAGAGGATGTGGTGAACTCAATTAAATAACCAGACGAACTGAGGTAACGAAAAGTTCTTTACAAGTAAACAAAACTAACAAAAGTCCAGGATATCACTTAGGTCGATAAGACAGTCCAGGGTCGGCGCCGGTTAACAGGTATATCCAGGGGATCCAAACTCGAGGTCAAGGGGAACAAAAGCAGAAGGTCGGTACACAG